GGCATAGAAGTGTAACGAAATATCCGTAATACTTAAGATACAGATACGTATTACGAATACAGTATTTTTGTAATACTTATTTGTCCATTCATTGATATATTAGGATAAACTAATTTCACATGTCTTTACTGGTCAGAAGCAGCTGACTGGTAGTTGACTAACCAGAAGATGGGGTATGATGGCGATATAAACCGAAATTTTGAAGGCGATTGTGAAGTTTTTAATTAGTTGACATGGTCATAATTTTAAATTTTGTATAACATTATTTCAGATCAATATTATAGGTAAAGGAATATAAGATCAGCTGCCTTAATATTAGGCTGATATTCAGTAATAGGTATAACACCTATTATAAAAAGCTGTTACGAATATTTTCAGTATAATTGGATTATCGAAGTATAATTGTAATGCCACGACTCTAATTTGTGTCAAATATGTATTTGACATTGATTAGGTACATTTAAAATATCAAAATTTTATCAATTTTTATTCGGAAAAAAGTGATAAATTTATATTTTAAAACTAAATTAACTTAAACCTAATTAACCTTAAACCTTCTTTCTGTTTTAAAAAATTAAGTATTTTATTGATTATTCTAATCAAATAATTATAAAAATACAAGAATATTGTCAAGAAGTGTTTCTGTTCAGAAGTTTCGGAACGCTTTCATCAATGTTGCTAGCAATCAGCAGAATAAGGAATAAATAGTTATTCAAGGTATAAGCATTGTTTATTGGTAATGACTTGTATAAAGGAGTACTAACTCCCTATTCAATGAATAGCTATGAAAGTGTTAAACAAGTGAGTAACCGAACTTTATTAGTAAGACCGTAATAATATAATAAACAAAACAAGAATATTATAACAAAAACGAGTATCAAAAAAGAAAAAAAGAAAACAAAACGTTCAAATAATAATATTCATGTGCCCATGCCAAAAGGGCCTCCACCTCAGCATATAGTTGAGCGAATATTCTCAACGCTGAAATTACATACGTTTTGAAAAGGTTGAAGAAGATATACACAACATATATAAACTATTTGTAGGTATATTGTATACATATGTATACCACTTTAGTTCCAATCAATTTATGAGTGTCTCAAATGGGTCGGCTCGACCGAAGTGATACCACGGCCTCAGAGAAAACAGCGTGAAACAATCATAGCATTATATTTTGCCGTGTAAGTGAGGTTAACAGAGGCCCAATCCTTCCCCTCCTCTTAATTCTCCCTCATTACTATTTCTCCAAAATCCTTTTCCCCAAGAAGCCGGCAACGCGCTCGTAATTCATAATTAAACCAACGGTTTTCTTTTTCTTTAACCAGATTATCTACATATTAATTAGCTTCCTGTCCGCGATTTCTTCCGCCAACCTTAATAAATTAACTTTCTATCTACTTAAAAAATAGAATCTAAATAGGTCACGTAGTTTTTAAGATTTGAGCGTACAGCGAGAAGCGACTTTGTTTTATACTATCTATATATATAGTGATGATATGAAAATAAATCGCTTAAGGTTTTGTTTAGAGCCAATCTCGAAAACGGTTGAACCAATTTGACTGATACCTTTCCAGAATACCTTGGTAGGCTTGACGTTTCGACCCGCACAGCTCCCTGCATTCGGGCGATGAATCTTCATCATCAAATGCAGGGAGCTGTGACATCGCGTCTTCAGACCTGTGCAACCGGGTCGAAACGTCAAGCCTACCAAGGTATTCAAATAATAATTTTCCGTGTTAGACCCGCGTAAATATATGTTATTAATATGAAACGCGAAAGTTTCAAAGTAAGTATACCTTTCGAGAGTTTGTCATATGAAAGAAACAAAAAAAAAGATCGCAAATGTCGTGAATAATCAAGCGGGACATAATTGAATGCGAAGAAGAAGCGGGGCACTAAGTAGTTTCCAAAATTTGTTTCTTATAACAGAAATTGTGCCAATGAAGAAGTTAATTTATTATATTGTACATAGATCTATAGCCTTCGTCGTGTAACTCGTACATATTTACATTCCCCCTTTGACTTTTAAATATGACTCCAAAATGTCCTCCAGTATAGAGGCATCCATTTGTCTAGCCGTCGGGAGGGACATGTCACGTTTTGCCCCGGGACGTTCGTACATTTTGGGTAGGGCGAGGTCACACTGAAAGCGAGCTTAGTAGCGAGATTAAAATTTAAGAATTATGGAACGACCTTAACTGAGTAACTAATTCGTTTTTAGGCTTTCTTTACACAAGGTGGTCAAACTGCATGACATGTTTTTTTAGTGGGGGATATATCTTTAAATTCCTCTTCTGCCGCCCTGAGTGGCGAGAGAGAATTGTCACACTCTTGACTTGACTGATGGTAAGCCATCAGCGCCACTAAAAGACGCCCGCAGCACCAAAGGAATTGCAAGAGCGTTGCCGGCCTTTTAGGGATAAGGGTTTCAGATATACAAGGATTCGGAAGGGATGGTGGGACGGGGAGGGATTGGACCTCCGGTAACCTTACTCACCCGCTTGGTAGTTTCACGTCGGTTTTCTGTAAAGCAGTGTAATCACTCCAGCCAAGCCGACCCATTCGTGCCGAAGCCCAGCCATCCCACACTTAAATATGCTGAAACAAACTCAGAAGCCCGTCTCTTTTTTTAAAGTCTAGACAATGTAAAAAACAAGACTTTGCTTATCATTCGCTCGCTATCAATGTGACCTACGCCTCACGCCTGCACGCACGCGTAGGGACCTACAACTAAGTGATTGATTGTGATGGCCAAGTTCTGTAAGAGCTCCACAACTCGAGTTTAGTGTTCTGTGTTTCAGGGGATGTACTGTAAAGGTTTTTGGTCCTCTTGAAATAGCTATGATTGAGTTTCTTGTTCTTATCCTTTGGAATGTAAGCGTTGATAATCATCATCAAGCTTAATGAACAGACAGATAAAGAAATATATTAATTTTATCCATTTATTGGCCATCTGCTGAATATTAACATCTGTGATAGTCAGATTCCTCTGTATGTGTGGGGGAGCAATGCTTTTGCACGAATGGGTCTTATCGATGCCTCACAGAAAACCAACTTGATAATCACAACGTTGTGTTTCACCATGTGAGTGAGGTCAGGCCCAATCTTTTCTCTCCCCAATCCCTGAATCTCCAAAACCCTAATCCCCAAAAAGTCGGCACCGCACTCGTAACTCCTTTATTGTTGCGTATGTCCATGGGCGGCGATAAGCTTACCATCAGGTAATCCGTCTGCTCGTTCGCCGGTTTATCACATTAAAAATGTATCAAAAAGTTTCAAAATCTCTGCATTTGATGACGGCTGAAGATCATACTTACTCAGTCCTTATCATGTATGTAATTTTTTATTCATGGTTTTACGTGTTTGGGTGTCTCGCGGAAAACGTAGCATTGATAGCTAATTAAATATATTATGTTTCAGCTTTTAAAACTCCCAATAAAACTTTACATAACTTCTCAAACCGATAATAATTCTTAAGTAAGGTAAATATTTATTCTTTGCCCAAAGAAAATACATTGTTTCGCACGCGTAGTCACGAATTGAGGATAAAATATTAAAATTGCAGCTCGTCTCGTCAATCCAGGAGCTCGTCCCGCAGGCAGGGCACGTGTGCAGGAAAATCACGGAGTCACGGGAAAGGGTCGGATTTACTTTGTTTTTTCGTATTTCTAAATCACGATCGGCTATCGTTGGTTGAGTCGGTGGTAGTATAAATGTTGAGTATGATGTCATGGGTTTATTTTGACGATTAAGTAACGTTTTATTGTGTTAAACTCTGTTGTTTAACGCTTCCAAATCAAATCAAAAGGAGTTTCTTTTTATGAATTTTTTTTCTTTTGTATGCCGTAAGGTGGAATATGTTGGAACTCCTACATATGTATAATTTTAACTTCTTATTTTATAACCATATTCTTTGCAAAATAAACGATTTGATTTGTTTGTTTTTTTATGAAATAGGTCGGCAAACGAGCTAACGGATTACCTGATGGTAAACAATCAGCACCGCCCATGGCCACCCGCAACAACAGTTGAGTTACGAGTACGTTGCTGACCGTTTGGAGATTAGGGATTTGGAGATTTTGGAATTGGGAAAGGGGCTGGCCCCTTTCCCAATTCCAAAATCTGACAACACTTTGAAAATTGTAGACTCGGGCCCCTGATTGTAAGCAATCAGCGCCGCCCATGATGGAGAAGTTACGAATGCGTTTCTAACTTTTTGGAGATTTTGTGATTGAGGGATAATAAGGATTGGGTCTACGGTATCTCACTCACACGGCAAACACAACGATATGGTTGTATCACGTCACGGTTTTCTGTGAGGCCGTGGTATCACTCCGGTCTAGTCGATCCATTCGTGGCGAAGAATGGCTCTTCCTCACATACTTTAAAAAAAGAGAGTTTCGATATATATACTTTATTCTGAAGACTTCAGAATAAATGTGTTGGTGAATTGAAACAGCTGTAGTTTCATGCAGAGAGTTCATGGTATCAGAAACAAACAGGCGGGAGGGATGAAGTCGCATTCTCATGCATACGGGCTGTATTTCAATGTTGTGGGGCCATGAGCACCGCATAAGAGCGGATGTAAGATACTAGCTTATGTCAGCGACTAAAAAAGTAGCCTATGTATTATTTCAGACAATAATCTATGTTTATACGAATTTTCATTATTCGTATAAATAAAACTGATTACCCCGTAATAGGAATAAATGGCGTTAAGTTACGTGTACATTATAATGTTTAGTAAATATCGAATGTGAAATTATTCAAAACTAATTTAGTCCAGGTTAATTATCAACACAAATCATCACCATTATGATTAGCCGATAAGTACCCACTACTTAACAGAGACCTCTTCTCGCACAGAGAAGTACCACGAATTTAAAAAAAAATACGTTTATCCAGGTTTTCTTACGAAAGTGAAAAGAAATGTGACTGGTAAAGAAATACTCTTTACCAGTCTAGGGCTGATTTTCAGCCGGGGTTGCGGGGTAAGCGCAATGGGGCACCGCGACCTCGGCCCAGAGCAGGAGAAGGAACAGGGGGGTTTTTAGTTTAACTAATACATTGTGATTTGCATAAGTGTGGAAGTGTCGAAAAACCAAGCTTCAACTTCTTCTTCTTCTTCTTCTTCTTCGGCTCGATAGGAGTAGCACGACCATAGTGATACCACGGCCTCACAGAAAACTAGCTTTGGTTTTCGCCGTGTGGATGATGATACCGGAGACCCACTCCGAACCGTAAAATATCCGAAACCATTATGCCTTTTTTTGTCAGGGGAAAATCATCAAATGACTTCTCCCGCCCAGGGTTAGGCGAGAGATTGTCAGACTCTTACTGACTAAAAACCCCCCCGTTCCTTCTCGTGCTCTGGGCCGAGGCCGCGGTGACTCCCTGCGCTTAACCCGCAACCCTGGCTGAAGTAGGGTCCCGTCTGTGGTGGTCTATTGGCTCTGTGAGGCGCGCGCGGAACGCTACGCGCCGTACGCTCGTGTCTAGTTCTGGTCGGGCGGCGAGCTAGCCTTACTCGCCGTCCGCAGATCCGCGCTTACGGTGGCCGGAGATCATCTCTCGATCCCCGACGGCCTGCGGCGGCTGGGGCGCAAGGCGGATAGTTCCCTCACGCGCTCCGTCTCCTCCTTTGCGAGCATAACTGCTTCGCAGAAAGAGCAGACGGCTTCCCAGTTCCTCTCGCTACTAAAACCAGTATCCGGTAAAAAATGCAGTTTTTTTTTAAACCATTATCCCTAAAAAGCCAGCATCGCACTCGTAACGCCTTAGGTGTTGCGGGTGTCCATGATGGGCGCCAATGGCTAACCATCAGGTCATATATTTGCTCGTTTGCCAACTTATCGACATAAAAAAACACATAGGAAGCAGGCAACAAGACCCACAACAAAAAGTCACAAATTCTAACTCCATGAAATTAATCAATCTTTTTTCGCAATTCCCTAATCGCTTGTTTCCTAGCCCCACACAAGTTGAAAGCGTGTAGGTCGTTCTACGTAAAACTACGCAGTAGGTCAGCATATTGTCGAATGTCGATACGTCACTGCAGTTTACACGTAACTGCTTTTACCCGGTAACCCGGTTAACCGGAAAAAATTCACGACGGGATGTGTTTTTCAATTTGCGAATCCTCTTTGACGTTTCAATTTTATTAACCGTATCCTGATTTTTTTTAATCTAAAAAAAAGAGATTGCGTTTACAAGGGTACAACTTAACATGCACAAGCCACCGAAACAACAATTTTTGGACAACTTAGTGTTGTTCCGCGCGGGAATCAAACCAAACACACACAACACAACTGCCAGTTGTGCGGCTACTGCGTCAGATTTCAGTATTCTTGTGCAGTTTAAAGATTGTACTAGCTTTAAAGACGAATTTGCCCGCGCATTAATAAAGTTGATTACCATAAGGCGTCACCGCCAGCTTAGCTCTCAAACTAAAACATTGAAATCGATTATGTAATTTAGGTATATCTACAGCAAAAACAGACATAATTACGATAGCTTTACAACATTATTAAATAAACTTTTATTTAAAACCTAAGAAGGCAATTTGTCTTTCATTTCACAACAAGAAACATTTCTCTCTTCAAAAACTCTAAAAGATAAACCTCATCTCGTAAAAGTGCCTTCACATCTCAACATTACTTGCCAACCATCTTGAACACATGCACAAACAAGGCATGAAAATACTCGCCCTCTCGTCCACTGTACCCCAGAGAGCTGAGTGCCATTGTGAGGAGGAGAGCCCTCCTCTTTGTGCCCAAGGTCAAGATCGCGCCAGCGAAGTAAATGCTCAACGGCTTTCGAAGGTTTCAGACGAATGTTCATACTTTACATCCGTTTTGAAGTTTAAATATAGATGCAGATTTTTGTATTTAGCGTTCTATTTATTAAATTTTGGGTGTGATTTTTTTATTTTATTAGGTGTCTTTGTACTTATGTTCAGTCGTAGATGTTTTGTGGCGCAAATGATGAAGTGTGCATTGTTGTATATGTTTTCTGGTCAAAAAACTTCTTAAAATAGCTTTTTTTAAATATGTAACATTAATATTTCTGGGTTGGAAAAACCTTACACTGCTGAAAGAACTGATTATAAATTCAAAATATCATGCTTGGGAGACTCATGCTTCGAATGGGCCGGCTTGACCGTTGTGATTTTCGCATTGTTAACAATGGGTTGACAGAAAACCGGCGTGACATAACGCTTGCTCTGTGACCTTATCTTATCGGAGGTTTAATTCTTTTCTTCAAGTATGGAACCTTGCAAATGCCCAATCTTCAAATTCCAATCAACCCCCTGACAGAGTATTCTTTGAACTTCACACCCAGAATCCGGTAAAACATATACACAGCAGCATAAACGTCGTTACTCATATTTTTTATCTTTACAAACTTTCCGTAACCTAGCAACGAGGAAATATTGGCCAAAAATATCCTGAAAGTAGCTATAAAAGCGGTGATAAAATTGTCCAAACAAACGAAGAGTAAAACCGACCACTTTGCCCCTCTTGATAAATACGTAAGAATTAGTCCAAAAAGGTTTTTTCTTGAACAAGGTAATTAATAGGAGCCCATTTAGTGATCACCACTGAAACCTTGGCTTTACCGTGAGACTGTTTATTTGGGTTCCGTCGTTAACGGCTAAGTACGAAATGGTCTATAGTAACATTATATACTTAATAGCTTTTGCCCGCGACTTTTTGCGTGGAATAGTGACTTCCTGCTGATTTTTGGTTTGAAATTATCTTTAACTTTATTGAGTTCGAAATTATGTCTGTACCAAATTTCACAGAAATAGGTTCAGTAGTTTCGGCCTGAAGAAAAGACAGACAGTCAGTGTTAGGTACTTTTGCTTTTATTATATTATATAGTATATGTAAATATTATATGTAGTGTATGTAAATATTATATGTAAGTTTATTTTCCATATAAAATTTTATTTATTCTAATAGGATTTAGGTAAGTAAGTGTATAAAATATCTCTGCATCGCCCAAAGGTTCGACTGGGAGAGAATGCCTGTGGCATTAAGTCCACCTTGTACACACATGTATGTGCAAAAGTGTAAATAAATAAATAAATAAATAAATAAATAAATATAGTTTGGGTTGCTTAACTTTAACTAATTTTAACGCATTATTCGTTTAAATGTGACATGTGAATTACAGTGAATTTTTTATACTTCAGAGTCGCACATAGGGCAATGTGTAATTTTTTGATAGATATGCATATGACGTGTCAAATGAGCAGATCTACGCCACAAATGGACACTATTTTTGGTGGTTTTATTGCTCTTTGAGGCGCGTGCAGATACGCACTGTACGCTCAGGTCTAGTTTTGATCGGGCAGCGAGCTAACCTTGCATGCCGTTGACGGCGAGATCGTCGCTCAGTCCCCGACGTCCGGTGTGTCGCCGACTATGGCTGCCAGGGCGTGAGGAGGACAACTCCCTCACGCGCTCTGCCTCCTTCTTTGCGAAAATCACTGCTTCGCAGAAAGAGGCCACGGCTTCCCAGTTTCTCTCGCTCATACTTACATAAAAATAAAAATTTAGACTTGAAATACAAATAACAAAGTCTACAGCAATCCTATAAAAGCACCTACACACAGCTTCATCATTAAAATTGAAACAAAAATTACAAAATGGCGTCAAATAAATCCGTTATAAGTCGTTCGGTTCCATATTCGACATTTAAAATATTCATCAGACAGAGATTTTAATTAATAAAATAGGTGCTGCGAGTAAAAAGTTTTCGTTTTATAATAACTTTGATGATTTACAAATGAAAAGATAATGGATGAAACGAGAAAGCTAAATTAATTAATGAAGTACAGAAGTAGGTAACACTTATACCATTCATAGCTTTAGTATAATATACCACTTGTGAAGTGAATTTATATGATTCTTTGTAATTTAAATTTTACAAAACTTTTTTTTGTACAGAAAACCGTCGTTAAAACAACCATAGCATTTGTGTTTCGCCGTGTGAATGACGTCACCGAAAGTCCAATCCTTCTTCTCCCCATCCCTCCTTATTCCCTAAATCTACAAAATACTAATCTCCAAAAGGTGGGCAACGCAATTTGAACTCTTCGGAGATATACTGTAGGTTATCGTTAGGTATAAGGTAGGTTATTTACTGTAGATCCTGCCTTACAGGAATTGCAGCGGTTTAGGAAGGCGGCAAGCTTGTTCTAAAAAAAAAACAGGTGTTGTGGGTGAACATGGGTGTGCGCGTTGCTTGCCATCAGCTCGTTACAATATGAAAAACATACAAATTTACAAACACATTCTATTTTAAAAGTTATTCTGTGTGATTATTGATTCCACGACACGGTTGTAATGCAGCGGATCACTGCACCTACCAGTCATCACGTTGTCCCATCACGGAAGTCGGCTCTCTAAAATGGCAGCGGCACTTTGAACACTCGTCAAATCTAACCCTCATAAAAATCGTCCATTTCTCTATCAAATCAAAAACCAATATATTCGAACCGAACTGCAAAATTCTATATAAATGACAGATATAAACCCGTGCCTTGTTATATCGGCTTATCACAAATTCTCCTACCCTTAAGGAAACGTCCCGACGCCTCCTGAAGCTTAAAGGCTTAGTAATTTATACCTCATTCGATGCTCCGTGATAGGTTTTCGTTCATAAGATAGAGGATACTATTTAACTACCTATATTTATAACTGTTTAGCGTTATAACTGTTTTTTAACTGTTTAGCGACTCGTCCGAGGTTGTCCTGCGTTCTATTTGCCAATTTTTCTGATACTATCTTTTCACCAGTTATTATAAAAACACCATGTCATAACCATTGACCAATTTAAAACGCCGCCGATGGTAAACGAGTAGACGGATTACTTCATGGTAAGCAATCCGTGCCACCCATGGACAACCGCAAAAGCAGAGGAGTTATGAGTGCGTTGTCGGTTGCCTCATGGTGATTTGGGTTACGGAGATATTTGAAAGACGTAATAAAAAACTTGTAACCCTTACAAGACTCCACACTACACAAGACGAACTTGAG